CATCGCCGTGGTTGTAGGCATCGTCGTGGTCGTGGTCGTCGTAGGCATCGTTGTGGTCGTGGTCGTGGTCGTGGTTGTCGTGGGCTCGGTGTAGTTGACCCAGCTAAAAAGCGGCGCCACCCGATCCAACACGTTAAACTCCACATACTGACTCACGTTGTTGCCGCACACATCTGTCACCGTAAAGGTCACAAAGTCCAGGTACGTGGCCGCACATCCCGGCACCCGCGACGTGTTGTCATAGTTGTTCGTCCACGTCACCTCGTCGCCACAAGTGTCATACGCGCTGCCGTTGCCATGCGTCGCAAACCAAGTCGCAAACTGCGCCCCGTTGCCCATGCCGTCGCACTCCACCGTCAAATCACTCGGCGCCGGTGCCAGCGTCGGTGCCTTGGTATCAATCACCTCCAGCACCTGCGTCGCATTGTCCGTGTTCCCGCAGTGATCCGTCGCCAGCACCCCACGATACAACGTTCGCTCATGCGCGCATCGTCCCGGCACCGCCTCGTCCGAAAACGTCACCACAGGGTCCGTATCGCACACATCCGTCACGTTCATGTCCGACTCGCTCGGGATCGCATCACACTCATAAATCCCGTCCGCGCGCACACCCAGCAGGGCGGGCGGCCGGCGATCCACAATGTCAATGTACGACTCGATGGCCGCCGTGTTGTTGCAAATGTCCGTCGCGTAAAACGTCACGTTGTGCCGGCCCACCGACCCGCAGCTCACCTGCAGCGCATGCCGGTCAAACGCCCACCGCACCGCGTCGCCGCACTGGTCCTCCGCCGTGCTGTTGCCGTGGATGGCCAGGTATTCGCCGATGATCGTCTCCGTCGAGTTGGGATCGCACTCCACCGTCAGCGTCTCCGGTCCCACGGGGAAGAGCGGACCCGTCGTGTCCACCACCGTGATGGTCTGCGTCTGCGTCGTGCTCAACCCGCACGCGTCCGTCGCCGTCCACGTTCGTTCCACCTGATAGGCGTGACCACAGGCCGCGTCCTCGGGTCGCGCCGCCACCTGCTGCTCAGACACAAACGTCAC